AGAGAGAGAAAGAGAGAAAAATATAATTACAATAACAATAATATAATATTTTTTAACGAGAGGAAGCCAGAGAGACAGAAAGGAAGAGAAAATATAAGCGAACGAGAGAGAGACACTAGAGACCCTTGTGGAAGTAGCGAAGGCAGGTGGAGCTGCGCCTGGGCGTGTCCTGTGCGGGCCGCGCAGGCGCGGGAGAAGAGGAGCAGAGCGCTGTTGTCTGCCACCCGGTGCCTTCCACCTCGGACGCCGGGCCCGCGAGGTCCACCACCCGCTCCATGAGCTCCCCCAGGGGCCCCAGGGTCCCCCCTCGACGCAGAACCAGGCATTCCCCAAGGGCCTTTCCCCGCGGGTAATCACCCAGCAGACTGGGCGGATACGCAGGGGCAGGGGTTGAAGAGTGGAGAGTTAAACTTATTTTCGTCTGGAAGAATTCGATTGGAAATGTGGCCCCGGGAGGGAGGATTGTTTGTGGTCGGGTGGTAAACATTCGTCTCCTTTTTAGAGGCGGTGTAGTTACATGTAAGTCTTATTTGTATACATTGTAGTATATGTGATGCAATGGAAAGGAAGGGTAGAAATGGTGTGCCTAGAAAAGTATTAGACTAGGACGTGGGAGATGGGAGTAATAGGTGTATTACAACCTTGATACATACACTGAGATCTTTGATCCAAGAATTGGCAAAACATGGTGATAATCGAATGGTTCAGATTGATTAACAAATCCTCAAACTCATCCAATATTATTACCTAAGTAGAATCGTGTATGAAATTTTCAAAATTTTAAATTTTCTATGGGTGCAATCTCGTGTAGTAACAAGTTGAGACTTGCAATCTAGTGGACTAGCATGTTCATTAGTCTAGTACTCTATACATATTCCCTACATATGTATATAAAACGTGACAATATTGCTTTTGAGCGCTGCGTTAAGTGCTTTTCGAAGTATCCGGTCCAGGTCTGCTCAGTTTACAAGGGTTGCAGCCCCACCTGTCATTTTAACCTCCAGCCGGTCGTCCTGGTTCTGTGTTGAGAGCGGAACTCTGAGGAAGTCCTGGAGGGGGGCCAGACGGGACCCTCGGTGGCCAGCAGGCCCCCGCCGCGCCCTCGCCCTAGGACTCTTGCTGCTTTTAGGTTTAACGTTTGTGTGTTGTTATAGTCATTTTTTTAATTCAGCATAATATTTTTACTTACCTTTAACGAAGCGGCAGCTGAAGTAACTGCTTTTTAAAAAATAAACGATAGTAAAAAAAATTTCGATGTGGTGAAGTTGAGGAAGACACAGTTAACTCGTGACGTAAGAACGATGAGGAGAACGGCTGATCTGGATTTTCCTGTTACGAGTTTGTCTTTTTGTATGTGTGCGTGTCTTCGCATCTGTATGCCTCTGGCACCATAACCCCCCTTCTTTTTAGCTGTAATGTTCAGTTGCCAAAGCATCGAGTATAATTTAATTGTAGATTTTTTTATGTTTGTAAGTTACCAGCAAGAAAGTACTTCAAACTGTGAAAGAGACACTCTTACATTTGACTGCATATCCGTGTGTATGAATGCGTGTGAAGCAGACGCGGTCTGCGCATATCAGGCAGGCGTTGCCCGGTGCCCGCCCCGTGTGTATCACGATAGCTCATAAGGTGGTGACTACTTCTTTTAGTTTGTCCAACCAGAAACTGACGTAGCAGCATGTGTGTCTGGATGTTCTACTGTACATGTATCTCACAAAAAACTAGGTGCAAAAGGAAAGAATAGTCTTTTGTATTTCATTTTTATTGTCACATAGATCTGATGATTGCTATGTAAGGTGAAAATGAACAATAAATTTAGAAACAATTGAAACTAATCAGTGTTTGAAAATGTCTGCTCTCCTATCCAAAAGCCTACCTCCCTTCTACAGTTCGTCCTAGTTCCCAGTGCAGTCATTTGACACCGTGTTTTGATGATTGCTATAATAGGTAAATAAACAACAAAATGAGAAACTATTGAAATTAAACCTGTGTTTGAATCTGCTTGCTTTTATACACATGCCTCCCTTCCACGCTTCCTCGAATCCAATGCAGTCGTTTGCCACGATTGTGATTGGAGTTGAATATGAACAATAAATTTAGAAATGATAAAAAATAATTCTCTGTTTGAATGTGCCTGTTTGCCTGCCCAGAAGCTTACCTCTTCTAAACGTCTTGCGAGTTTCCAATGCAGTCGTTAGTATAATTGACTCCACGCATATGGGAGTTCCCCATGGATATTTTGAAAGGGCCTCCTTAGCCTTACGTAATAAAACATTACATTTTATTATATTGTGTCCATATTTTTCGGAAGTCAAAATGGCACTTACATCTTGTTTTATTTCAAGCCTCCAAAAATTATTGAAGGATGTTGAGTACAAATTTTAATTGTTAGTCGACATTATACAATTCTAATTGTTTCTCGACGTTTGAAGAAGAGATTCTTAAATCTGGCAACCTAAAAATGGTTGAACATCAAGCGAATTATATTTTTTATTCGCGTCGAGTGACTATGACACTTATGAAATTAAAACCAGTACTCTAAAATGCATACGGTATTAACATATCAGAGCAGTGATTTACAGAAAAATATCAGTTTTCTTTATCGATTTAAATTATCATAACCTTTTTGCCCAATCATAAGCTACGATTCATCTATCTTAGGATGTGGAATTATCAATTCCTTGGTCGATGCGCAACTAAGTGCAGTATTCTATAATAAAAATAGAATATATGTTTGGAAACTGAAAACTTTTGTAAGGGCTGAAACATAAATTAGGAAAAGATACACCAATTTAAGAAATTGCGAAAAGTTTGAAGAAAATGAAATCAAATAAACCTATATATTTCCTGCTTTCGTTACTTGCATATTTTATTGATTCATATTTGTTCTGTATTAATCCTTACTTCTGGAATATAAACAAACAGGTCATACATAATCCATCTTCCTTGATTTCAGGATTTCAGATGACCTTGCGTAAGTATGAAAGAGAAGAGAATGAAGGTTGATGCACGTAGTAATTGACATTATGGAAAATACATAAACATACCAGATTAACTGACATAACGAGTGTTAATGAACTGGATTATTAAATTCAAATTTCATTCATGAAATAGTCCTATTAAATTCCACTCGTGCTTTGAAAATTCTCAGATAATCCCCTCGTCACATCACGACTTGAGGATTTGCCGATAATTTCCAAAGCACTCATGGAATTACCTATTATTATATCATTCTCCTTGCAGGATTTATTTAATTGCTATTAAAATATGTCATAATATGACATTTTTATGTGTTTCGTAAATGAACAGTTTAATGTAAAATAAAAGTGGGTCCAGATATTTAGTTGCCCTCCCCCACTTGTTTTAGGCTGTGCATGTCTACGATCCGACGATTGCTACATATGGTTAAAATGAACAATAAATTTAGAGACAATTGCAACTAATCAGTGTTTCAATCTCCCTGCTTCCCTACCCCTAAGCCTGATTCCCCTCCTGCACATTGCCCTAGTTCTCAATGCAGCGCGCGCTTTGAAAAGAGCTCCAGGGTTGCGGAGCTCAGTGGAAGTGTCCTTGATGTAAACCATACCTTTTAAAGGGCTCCGGAATCTTTTCATACGACCGTATGTAGCTCGTTACCTCCCCTTTCACGCGCATGCTCAGATGCGTAACCCCCTCTCCCCGTGACGGAAAGGCCCACTTCAGCAACCGCAGCTGCCGACCCACGGTGTGTGCGTGCTTGTGTGTGTGTGTGCACGCACGGGCCTCGCACAAAAGGGGAGCGCGTCCGGTGAGGGGGATGCGCACAGTGGTCTGTAAAAGGCGCAAATGCGCAAAAATTACGGCGCGCGCAAACACCTCAATTTACGTCGAGGCATGAAGCCCTATCTCTTCACGTCCATTTGGCTGTACATTTGACCCATTACTTCAGAATCCATTCAACCTATTGCTGAAAAATTTTAGGAGCCGCTAAGCAGGAATGTATTAAATAATTGCAAGCAGATGTGCATCTTTTGAATAGTTTTTGTAATTTATAGCATATTTGAAGCGAAATAAACGCTTTAGATAATTTTTCTATATTTTTATGTAGAAATCCATTAGTACGAAACTTACTGCACTAATTTTGCTAACATTCATTCATTATTACTCAGTTGACCTCCCCTCAATGGAACATTATCACCAGTAATTTAAGAGATAATGGGACAAATGTTTCAAAAATGTCATTTTTCAGAAATCTGCGACGAAGTTCATCCTTCTACGAAGCCATTCACCTCGGCAAGCTAACTAGTAAACAAAACACATTTGCGTGTGTATTTTAATACTCCCCGCGGTGAGGATAAACATAATTTAATGGAAGATAAAGCTTTGCATTACAATCGACTTTAAAGAATGAACTTTTTTAGACAGCCCTTAGTCAAAGCGGCTATTTTTAGATCAGGCAAAGCGTGCAAAAAGTTTAAATTTTAGCACTAATTCTGAAAGTGTGACGACGCTCGAATGTCGAAATAAAACTATGCATACAACAAAGAAAACAAAATAATTTTGCCTGATTGCATCAGCTTCTAATGATTTCGATGTAAAATA